GTCGTGAAACGCCACCGTGCAGAGAGCACAGACAGGCTGGCACAGCCAGAGGGTGGCTCTGGGCCATGACCAGGCTGCAGGCGTCCAAGAGGTGATGTTTCGGCTGCTGGGTGTTTGCCTCCCTCCTCCATCTGTGCCTGCAGTGCCCTCACCTCTGGCAGCAGTGCCAGGAGGCAGCTGTGGGCAGAAAACCAGCTGGTTTTCTCCCAGCAGCAGCAGAGGCAGCCGGTGCTGGGACAGTGAGGCTGATGGAGACACAGCACGTCCTGCAGCTGGGCGCAGGTGGCGTGAGCTGGACCCCAGAGGAGCAGACGCTGCCCGCTGCCATTCCCAGGCTGACCTCCCGCATCTCCCCCGCCAGCAGGGACAAAGCCACGGGGGCCCCAGAGGTCAATGAGGGGCACGGGGCAGGGGACGCGGCTTCGCTGGGATGGGGGGAAGGGACTGTGCTTGACAGAGATGATCCCGTGGGGCAAGGAGGACCGGTGGGGGAGGGAGTCATGTAATGATGCTCATAGCAGGGTGCGTGCCAAGGGGCACAAATCCTGAGGGTGCCCAGGGTCTTCCCAGCCCAAACTGCTTGCTAGGGAGCAGGGACAGCAATTCAGCTGCCCCCAAGAGCCATGGCCAGGGCATAAACAGAGAAAGGAATTACCTGCCCCTAATCCCATCCGTGGCTCCATTGCTGCCCCAGGATGGGGGGCTGTATCCATGATTCCTGCCCCATTGCCACCATTGCCATGGCAAGGGATGCCGGGGCCCCATTTGCCCTGGACCTGAAGCTGTGAATTTGCAGTGGGGTAACATGGCTCTTGCTGCCAGTGCTGGTGCAGGGCACATCAGATGCCTGACGCTGCTCCAGTTCCCCCTTGTCTCTCAGCACCCTTGTGGTGCTGACTGTGTGGCTTAGAGGTCTGTGGCCAGCCTGCACGGGTGGCACATCCAGCCTGCCTGGAAGGGGTAACCCCATCAGTGGGCATGCAGTGATGATGCCACAGAGACTCACGAGACTGCCAGAGGCTTTACTTCCACGTTCAGCACAGCATGGCCACCCCATGTTCCCCCCTTCCAGATCACCACCACTGCTGGGTGGTGGCAGAGCCCCACCACCCCCAGCCCTCCTCCAGCGATGTGCTTGGCACCAGGAGCTGCTGTGCCTGCAGGGATCTCAGCCAGGCAGGCCCCCTGGCTCCGGCGGTCCCATTGGCAGGAGGGCTGGCAGGTGCCTGCGGGCATCACTGTGGCAGGTACTGCTTGGGGTCCCCAGGGAAGGGCAGGGCGGGTGCCTGGTTGAAGTGAGCCATGAGGAAGATGCCGATGGTGCCACACACGAAGAGGGAGGCCATGATGAAGAAGCAGACACGGTCAATCACCCGTCCCACCAGGATCCAGTCTTCGCTCTCCTGCCAGTAGCATGAGGAGGGGGCTGAGGGCTGCCCCCAGTGCCCCCCATGGGGGTCCCTCTCCCCCCTGGCTCAACTCACGCTGCTGAAGTCATTCTGCTCCCGCGTGGCATTGGCGATGTGGTTGCAGGCATCCACACAGGCACGGATCTCAGGTCCTGCCTCCTCCAGGCTCTGGCAGAAGTCCTGGGCACTGCCGCTCTCCAGGCCACGTCCTACAGGCAGCAGAGCCAGTACAGTGGGCACCAGTGAGTGCCCGGCCACCTGGCACATCTCCCAGCCTTGCGGGGAGGTGCCAACCCCCCGGGAGCACTCACCAATCTTCTCCAGCACGGTTTTCATCAGCCCATCCCTCTCCTTCTGCTTCTCAAAGAGCAACTCGGTCCGGGCTTTCCAGAGCATGTACTCGTCGGCTTTCACCATGAGACCCAGGGAGCTGCGTCTCCGGGTGGCTCGCGGTGGCCCTGGTGTCTCCTCTGGCATGTGCATGCCCAGGTAGCGGGGCAGGAGGTGCAGGCACACCTGGGCACAGCATCACCTGTGGGGACCTAATCCTCCCCAACACTGCCTAGGGCACCCAGTGGGTGTGATCTGGTCCCCTTGCATCGCCTGGAGCATCCCCATGGGGTGCCCTTGTGCCACTGGGATGCTGGGTGTGTTGGCACCTACTGCTCCCCAGTGTTTGCAGTGGCTTGGAGGGCTTTGGTGGCACAGTGTGGTTCCTTGGGGACATCTGGGGGGTCCCTCTTTGTGCCAGGACTTGCACTCAGATGAAGGCATGCCCACCACCCTGGTCTGCAAGGGACATAGCCTTGGCCCCCAAATACCCACCCCGTTTCCCATGTATAAGGGGTAGGGAGATGACAGCAGGTACCTGGCGCACTCTCTGGGACATGGAGTGAGTGTTGGGTGTTCTCAGTGAGATGTTGAGGACGATGACAGCGTTCACCACGATCACCACCGTCACCACCATGAGGAAGGTCAGGTACCTGGGGAGGGAGCACGGGGCCTCATGTGGGGCTTCTGGGTCACAAGCTATGGGCATGTAAGGCCCTTCTCAGTGCCCTCCTGGGCTGGAAACTGGGGACCAGTAGTGGTACATGGGCATGTGGTAGCCCTGTGCCAGCCCCACCTGGGCTGGGGGTTATTTCTGTGCCAGGGTCCTGTCCCTGGGCACTGGCTGCTGCACAGCACCTGGAGACCCCGCTGGCACAGTGTGACAGCAGGGCTGGCACCCCTGTCCCCGTGCATCACTTACTTCCCGATGAGAGGCACAGCCTGGGAGGTCTCAGGCACCTTCTGGGCAATGAGGAAGAGGAAGACGGTCTGGGCCAGGAGGACGTTGATGGAGACGGTGCATTTCTGCCCACCCGCTGCCAAGGAGAGGGGAAGGCAGAGGTTGGCACAGGGCAGTGGTGTGGGCATTGCCCTCCTTTGGCAAAAAGCCCCCACCCCAAAGCTCAGCTGGCCAAGTCCTGCCATGAGGTTTTAACCATGGGGTACCTGGAAACTCACCACACCCCTCCCCCTTCCAAATATCGCAGGAGTGGGTGAGAGATGGCACTGATGGTCTCCAAGCACAGAGGGGACAATGAGCCCTTCCTCACCTGTCACTGCCCCCCTTGCACATCCCTGTGCCCGCCGTGGGCAGGGCACCAGTGCATACCTTTGGCAGGGAGAAAGTAGACCAGTACAGCCATGGCAGAGATGAGAACACAGGGCACGATGATGTTGATGATGTAGAAAAGTGGCTTGCGCTGGATGATGAGGTAGAAGACAACCTGCTGGTACTGGATGTCATCTGGGGTGAAGTGCTCCGAATTGATTATCTTCCGAGCGGGGCGGTGCTTGATGACCCATTCTCCGTTCTCTGCCATGCAGCGGTGCCATGTGAGTTCCCCGCCAGAGGGGCACAGGGGCTGCCAGCCCCTTGGCTCGGGGGGGGGAGGAAGGGGAGGGCTGGGTATCGGTGTGGGCCCCATAGGGCACCCAGGCTGGGCAAGGTGCGGGGAAAGGTGCTAGAGCCGCTGGGAAGGGAGATGAGCACCACAGAGCATGCCACGGTGCCCAGGCAAAATACCCCAAAAAGCTGTTGGCGGGGGCAGCCGGGCACATATGGGGCACCTCAAGCCCCTTGGGGGCTCCCAGGGCATTACGTGTGGGGCTGGGGTCCCCCCATCTTCCTGCCCCCAGGATGCCGTGGGGGGAAGCCGAGCATGACGCTGGGTGACGGCGTGCTGTTTTCCCCTGCTGTCTGCAGGAGCAATAGATTTTTCCCAATCAAGATCGCAGCTCGGGCCGGTAATGAAAAAATAAATCTCGCTGCCCGAAAAGCATTTTGTTCCTTCAATATGCAATTAAAATGTGATGGAAAACGTCATCATTTGGCCGTGACAGCTACGTTCCCAGCATCAATCAAGCTCGCAGGAGCAGTGCTCTCCAGGAGCGGCTGCCAGGCGGTGAGAGCCCTGAGCTGGGGGGGTTAGAAAAACAAATCTCTCCCACACTCCCGCTTCCACTAATAACTTAAGTGCCCATGTAATGGCGGGAGCTGCTAATAGCCCCCCCTGAGCTGCTAATAGCCCCCACAGCCCTGCATTTTGGCAGCCACCGGTGTAGCACTGGGCCTGTCGGGTGCCCCCTGTGGCAGGGTGCTCTTGTGCCACGGGGGCGGCTGCAGTGTTACCTGTGAAAGCCTCAGGGTCAATGGAGATCCACTCCACGGTGTGGCCTTCCTCCACCGTCAGCAGCAGGTTGATTTCGTTGGCGCTGTAGGTCTGAGACCTGGGGAGGGACGAGGGGGTGGCACAGGCTTGCATGCAGCGGGCTGGGTGGGCAAAGGGTGCCAGTGTGGCACTGGGTCATGCTGGCCACCTCCAGCTCTGCTTTGGGGTGCTTGGCTTGGCCAAGGTGCCTCCTGCCACCGACAGGGTGCCGGGGGACAGGTAGGTGGCACTTGTCTGCCCAGGGGCTTATTGCCCCAGGGCAAAGGTGGACATCCCATGCTAATCCCTTGTGTCCCTGGAGGACCCGCCATGGTGCCCCGCGTGTGCCCAGCCGGTGCTCACTGGAAGACCATGGTGCAGTTCTGCCAGTCAAAGGGGAAATAGGTGACGTGGATGGCGCAGGAGCTGCGGTAGATGGCAGGGGGCAGCCAGTAGATGCTGCCATCGGGGGACACCAGCACGTTGGTGTAGAGGGTGATTTCAAATGTTCCGTCGATGCTGGGGTGGGGGGAAAGATGGGCTCAGCTCCAAACCGTGCCCAGCAGGGGCAGCTGCCACCTCCTGTGCAGGGATAAGTCTCCATTCCCCTGTTACCTACTTGTTCTCCAGGACAATGTCGGGCAGCCAGACCATGGTGGAGGGCACCCGCAGCAGCTGGATGTTGTCGTAGTTCTTAGGGTCCCACTGCAGGCGATAATCGGACCATTGCTGGGGGAAGGGGAGCAAAGAGGGAGGGTTACAGTGCTCCCTGAGGCAGGGGAGCTTGTGAGCTGCCTGTCCCATGCTGTCCCCAAAATGGGCTCAGTTGGGGGGCACCCACAAAAGGGGGTGCAGGTTATGGTGCCAGCCCTCCATGGGGTGCCACCCTGAGATGCAAATGCGGCCTGGGGGGGTCCTGCCTGGAGGTGAGGGGTCTCACCATCTCGATCCAGACGTTGGTGGTGAGGGTCTCCTCCCTCTCGTTCTGGCAAGGAAGGAAGGGGGGGAGACAGCTTTAGCACCCTGCCCACTTCTGCCCGCTGCCCCACGTGTGAGGGCAAATCCCATCGGACCGGGGGGGCCCTCTCACCAGGGAGATGAGGTTGGTGAGGGTGAGCTTGAGGGTGACATCGATGATCTGGTCCCCGTGCAGGGCCGGGCGCAGGTTCCGGTTGTAGTTGGTCATGAGGTCCTGGAGCAGCTTCTCCTCCTGGTTCCTGCAGCTCACGCCTGGGGAGGGCATGTGCCGTGGGGGCACCCCGGGGTGGGGATGGCAGGGCCACCGATGC